AAGGTTCTACATATAGGCAAGAAAAACCAACACACAGGTATAGTATAGGGAGTACCTTGCTCTATAGTAGTAACTGTGAGAGGAACCTCGGAGTCCTAGTGGACAATCACCTAAATATGAGCTAGCAGTGTGCTGCAGCTGCCAAAAAGACCAACACAGTGCTAGGCTGCATTAACAGAGGGATAGAATCAAGATCACGTGAAGTGTTAATACTACTTTACAATGACTTGGTAAGACCACACTTGGAATATTGCATCCAGTTTTGGTCACCGTGATGTAAAAAAGATGTTGAGATTCCAGAAAGAGTACAGAGAAGAGCAACAAAGATGATTAGGGGACTGGAGGCTAAAGCGTATAAGAAATGGCTGCTGGAATTGGGTATGTCTAGTTTAATGAAGAGAAGGACGAGGGGGGACATGATAGCAGTGTTCCAATATCTCAGGGGCTGCCACAAAGAAGAGGGAGTGAAGCTATTTTCCAAAGCGCCTGAAGGCAGGACAAGAAGCAACGGGTGGAAACTAATCAAGGAGAGAAGCAACCTAGAACTAAGGAGAAACTTCCTGACAGTTAGAACAATTAACCAGTGGAACAACCTGCCTCCAAAAGTGGTGAATGCTCAACCACTGGGAGTTTTTAAGAAGAGACTGGACAGCCATTTGTCTGAAATGGTATAGGGTTTCCTGCCTGAGCAGGGGGTTGGACTCGATGACCTCCAAGGTCCCTTCCAACTTTATTACTACTACTACTACTACTACTACTACTACTACTACTACTACTATTATTATTATTATTATTATTATTATTATTATTATTATTATTACCAATCTTGGAAGAACAGAAGGCTGAGTCAACCTTGAGCCGCTCAGGATCAAATTTGTGACTGTGAGCAGAGTTTGCCTGAAATACTGCATTCTAACCACTGTGTCACCACAGCATCATCATCATTATCATTATCATTATTATAATAATAATTGTTAATTTATTTTATAAATGTGGAAGACAACTTATCTAGTAAGGTAAGATGAACTGTGGAAGTTCTCCAATAGACTTGTTTCATTCAAAAGTTTCAGTCAGGGCCTAAGGAAAATACAGTTAAAATCCTTTTATATTAGAGCATTAGAAGTTGTACAAGTAACTCTAAGATTTTTAGGAATGGTTTTTAACTGCTCTCAGTCTCACCTCCCAAGATCCAAAAACAAATTTATCAATTGAAAAATAACAAAGCTCCTGGCAACTATTTAGTCCAATCAAAATTCTTACAATTAAATCCTATATGGTGGGTGATGACTTTGATTTCTCTGTGTAGCCACAAATAATCCTGTATGTCTCCTTAAAAATTGGCTTAACTCTAGCAATACTAAATTTATGAAAACATGAATAAATTTTTGTTTGGATTACTGCAACACGGTCTATATGGGACTGTCTTTGGAGTTGTTCTGAAAGCTGCAAATAATCCAGAATGCAATGGCACACAGTTCATCCAAGTAACACCCCTGTTGCATGAACTCCACTGACTTCAAGTTGCAATTCAAGGTGTTAGTTATCACCATTAAATACCTACTTGCCCAAGGCAAAGGTTACTTATGGGAACCACATCTCCTTGAAAATATCTGTCTGTCCTAATTGTTAGATAGAGAGAGGGTGCTCCAGGTCTTCTCCTTCAAATGTTGTCATCTGATGGGACATGGGAGGTACACCTTTGCAGTTGTTTCCCATCCTTTGGAACAGGCTCCCACCTGAAGTCTGAGGGATTCCTACTCTTTTATCCTTTCAGAAGGCTATGAAGATCTGGCTCTTCTCACATGCATTAAGCTAGAATAGGAGTTGAGCTGCAAGGATAATTGGTCTGGCACTTGGGTGGGGGATACCTTTCTTTTTAACTATGATTTCTATGGATTGTAGTCGGCAACCTAGAATAATTGCATGAGATTGTCAGTCATATAAATCCTCTAAATATTTACGTACATACATATGACTTTGCAATTTTTAAACCAATTAGCCTTCTATCTGTAATCAGAAAAAAATATATGCTAAATTTACTGTATCTCCACAAATCTCTGTATTGGATGTTGTCCCAAACATTTTTTATCTTAAAGCAAAACACTCAACCATGAATCAATGTACTATATTATATTATTTAGCTTAAAAATGTTACAGGCAACTCTCTATGCAATTATTATAGAATGACTATGGAGGAAACTAGATGCTACAGCAATAGAGCATTGTCTTCTTAGCCTGATAATACTATTATATAAGGATACAACTACTCAAGTTAAGGTAATATTTTTGGTAATCTTACTAGCAAAGAGTTCCTAACCTCACTATTGTTCAATTTTTACATTAATAATATTGTTGAGATGTTTGTTATGCAAAATCCTCCCTCCTTTGCCTATCATCCAGTTGATATTCTCCTTTGCGCTGTTGATACACCCTTTTGTCTATAACCCAAGTAGGCCACTGAAGATGTCTGTCTATCTAATTTGTGTCCAGTCCGACTTATGAAGACCTCAGAAGGGCTCACAAAAACTAAAACAAGAGAAGTACAATAAACCATTTAAAATAATTGTAAAAAATAAAGATAAAAGATAGCAAGAACAACAGATTAGATCGGAAGAAGCAAGGAGTCTCACTTTACTTCATCAAAGATCTTGATGATTTGAATTTTACAATCTGGCTATATAACAGCAGAATGGGGGCCATTCAGTTCTCAGGAAGGACCTTATTCTAGAGGACAGACAGTGGTACAGACAAAGCGAGCTTCTAGAGTTCTGATATCTGATATTCTTTAATCAAAGGAACCAAAAGTGAGCAAACCTAGCAAAATTGAATCATATGGGCAGATATTTAAAGCTTTATCATTTTACTTCTCTAGCGAACAGCTTCAAAAGAACTACCCTAAACCAAAAGTATTGGTATTCTCCAGGAAATGCTGCAAGTCCCCAATTAGATGGATGATCAATGGTAAACTCATTGAGCAGATAAACTCCTCTAAATATCTAGGTATTTATTTTCTCCCTGCTAGCCTATTCAAGCAAGATTGCTTGTAGTAAAGCTTAATAATCACCTCTTACAATTGCTAAATTTGCCATTTGGTAATAATTACATCCAAGCTGCTATTAAGCTAAAGTTCTAGGCTTGATGTTATAGGGTACTCAGCTCTGCATTTATTTCTTAGTTTAGATAAGGTAGAATTCTCAATCATTTGGACAGTTGTATCATAATGAAATGAAAGTGAACATAGCTTCCTTTTGGATTTCCAAGATTAATGAGAACAATTTGGCATTTTGTAAGACACAAGGCCAGCATAAAAACACAGTCAACTTGCTCGAGTCTTTTGCCCTGCACAACTTAGTCTATTTTTCAAAAGGAATAAGGTTTTAGTAAGTAAAATATGTTTTGAGTTTTTAATATATCAATATAATAATATGAGGGATTGTTTTCCATGGAATTTGCTTTGAAAACTCTAATTTACAAAGATTTTTTACAAGCCATAGCAACTACCATTTCTCATTCATCAATAACAGAATAACAGAATTGGAAAGAACCTTGGAGGTCCTTTAGTCCAACCCCCTCAAGCTCAAACAGGAGATCCTATACCATTTCATAGAAATGGCTGTACAATTTCTTCTTAAAAGCCTCCAGTGATGGAGCACCTACAACTTCTGAAGGCAAACCATTCAACTGATTAATTATTCTAACAATTTTCCTTACTTCTCGGTTTTTTCCAGTGCTTTGGAGACCCCCCTCTTCTGTATAGCAGCCCCTTAGATATTGGAAAACTGCTACCATGTCACCCCTAGTCCTTTTTTTCACTAAACTAGACTTACCCAATTCCTGCAACCATTTTTCCTATGTTTTAGCCTCCACTACCTTAATTATCTTTGTTGCTCTTCTCTGCACTCTGCTCTAGAGTCTCAGCATCTTTTTTATATTGTGGCAACCAAAACTGGATGCAATATTCCAAGTGTGGTCTTACAGAGGCATTATAAAGCAATACTAACACTTCACATGATCTTGATTCTATTCCTCTGTTAATGCAGCCTAGGACTGCATTGGCTTTTTTGGTGGCTGCAGCACACTGCAGGGTCATATTTAAGTGATCGTCCACTAGGACTCTTAGATTCCTCACACAGTTACTGCTGTTGCGCTAGGAACCACCTATTCCATACCTGTGGATTTGGTTTTCCTTGCCTAAATGTAAAATCTTACTTTTCTCATTATTGAATTTCATTTTGTAGGATAGGGACTACTGTTAGTGTTTGTTGAGAACATTCTGGATCTTTAGCCTATCTTCTGAAATGCTGGCTATTTCCAACAGAAGCAGACCATTTTGTTTAGATATTAAATGTTAATGCTGTGCTAAAAGTAATCCATGTAGCCTGACATACAACTTTTATAAATGTACCACAGATTTTTAAAACAAACCGATACACTGCTATTTTTGCCACAAAGATAAATCCAGAAAGATAAATCTTCTTCACTTACATAGTAATTGTCAGGATACAGTTTTGCAATGTAGTTCATTTCTGCTTGTTTGGGATTTAATTGCTAGTTCTAGAGAATATACAGTAATTAGCTGCACATACTTCTGTGAATGTTTTGGTGCTGTGCCATTTCCTTCATGAACTTTTGCTCCCATTTGCAATAAACGTCAGTATGGCCTATGTCTTTGAACTATGCTGAGGACAAACCTTGTCATTCTCTCCCTCCTCCTCCCTGCTTTATAGGAACTATAAAAATGCTTCCTGCCAATGCAGTTTTTATTTATTTTCACACATATGCTTGACAGATATGATATCGGCTTTGATACATATTTTGTATGCATCCTCATATTAATGCCATTTTATAGCATTAACATTAGCATTAAATCTATACATTTCTAATGAGAAATAATGCTCACAAATAAAGTGTGGTTTACTTTTAGGTAATTTATTCCTTATATTATTTAACGGTTATATTAAAGTGTATTTGTGTGTGTGTAGCAAGTACAGAATGCTTACCAAAATGTTCAAGCAGACAAAAATCGGATGGAAATGAGCAGCCTTCTTGTTTCAACAATTCGTTTAACATCTGTTTTAGTGTCAAAGTATCAGCTTGACCTTTAAAACAGTTTAAAAAAAGAAAAGATTGTGCAAATAAATATATTTCAGAGAAATATGACCTCCTATTTGGCTCATTGTGCTCATTCCTTCTGGTCATATACAGTGCTAACTGTATCAGCCATAAAACATGGAAAGAATGATATTTCATTAAAGTGAAGTTTTAAGGTGAGATTAACACTCTAACATTTCCTGAGTGATTCATATGATTAATGCTGAATTCCTGTGACTCTTGAGTATCAAAGATCATCTTGCTAATCTCAGGTCTGTTGTTCTGATCTGCAAATCATGTAGATAGGACTTGTTGAAAGTTCCAACTCTATAATCAACAGGAGAATATGGGCCTTTTTATAGCAGCTCCTGAATTGTAGAATATATTAATCCTGGAAATACCCTGTACTTCTGATATTTCATACAATATATAAGATCATTCTCTTTCAATGGATCTTTGATTCAGTATGAAGATTTCTAGTAGTCACCTACTTTTGCTGTTTTGTTTAAGGCAGTATTATGTTCTGGTTTTAATTGCTGTTATTACTTATACACAATTCAGAGTTGTGGGAGTTTATCAGTAGAGGTAAATAATGTAAGTAAATGAGTTCCCATGCAAAGAAATGGATTGCATTTGTTTCCACTTGATATTCAAAGACTATAATTCTTACTTGGCAATAAATGACAATGCATTATGTGCAACTTGGTTTTCTTTAATGCAAATTCTGCATAATTACTTGGAGACAAATTCTTCTGGAAGATGCAAGGCAGATATTTAAAACTAAGTAATTAGTAACAGATCTCAAATGGTTCTCATACAATTGCACTATTTTGAAAAAAAGAAAAGAAAGAAAGAAAAGAATATGGCATCATAATTTGAACAGTATGTATTTCTAGAAGGATATAAGCCAAACTAAATGAAAACATTAAGTGGACACATACAGTGAATTCTTTGGGTGGTGACTGTTTACTTCCTCTTTGCAGAGCATTGATGGAGGACAATATATTTTAATTTAAAACAAACGAAAATATATTTTAATTTAAAATAATTTTTTTAAACAAAATGTTTCTCTGTAAACTCTTTTTAAATATTTTAGTAATAGAATAATTTAATGTTCTTTAAAAAAAAGAAATATTAAATCTGTTCATCTAAAAATTATTTTTAGGGAAAAACTTTTGTAACTAACCATACATTACTTTCTCTTCCTAACCATCTGAGGAACACTCTACACCTTCCAAATTTTAGCTTATTGTGCCAAAGTCACCATAAATTTAAATGTTTCACAATTATTTTTATATTAAATGCTGCTATATGTATAATTGTAAATATTTCATATCTGTGAAGAAAGTTTAAATTTCTAGTATACCATGATCAACATAAATAAATTCAAGCAGCACATAAAATGTAGATAGCAAAATATTTTTTTAAAGTGAAAGAAAAGCAAAAGTGCCTTGAGTGCATAAAGTTTAATATTAGTATTTGTAACTCAACAAACTATGTGATCTGAGCCATACGCTGTCTCTAACATGTGGTTGCCCAATTTTATTTATATAATTTGTTTATAATTTATATAATAATATACATTATATGCTTTGTTTCTGGGTTAAGAAAATATGCATTAATATTTTCAATTTATTATATTCCTGGAAAGCTGTATAGGGCCATTCTATATATGATGCTTTAATAACTAAACCAAAGCAACTTGAAAGATTCCTGTTCCATTCTGTGATATTTGTACTACAACTTCTTTGACTGCAACAGGTTAATATTCATATTATTCTATTTAATATCCATAAACAATCCAGTGAAGCAATATGTCAGGTGATGATGTTGTAAATTTGCTAATGATATTTGATTTGATTTGTTCTTTTTCATCTAATTCAAAGGTGGAAGTGGGTTTCAAATAATGAAATGGGTGGGGATTTGTGTACTGAAGGGCAATCAGTATTAATACATGCATATTTGACAAGATCTGTTACAGGTAATCCTCGAGTTACGACAGTTCACTTAATGATCATTCCAAGTTATGCGATAACCCCCCCCCCAAGTATTTAAGGCACAGTCCTGAAATTACAAATGTTGTAGCACCACAGCAGTTGTATACCCTTACGAATGACTACAGAGGCACTGCAACATTTACCCTGCCTATCCCCCCTCCACTCTCCACAATTGCTTCCCCTCCATCCTGCCTCCCCGGACTCATTTACCTTGTGAAGATCTGTCTCCTCTTTGCTTCCAGCATCCAATCAGCTTGCAAACACTTTTCGTGCACCGAGAGTGAAATGTTCTGGGTACCGAGATCTCATGGGACTTCAGGCCATGACATCACAGTGCCCAGAAGCTTCCAGTCTCCATGCAAAACATTTACAAGCTGATGGGATGCTTTGAGACAGTGTGATTTCGTTTTCTCAAAGTATCCCATCGGCTTACAAATCTTTTACGTGAAGACTGAAAGCTTCTGGGTGCTGTGATCTTGCAGCCTGAAGCCCCACGAGATCACTGTACCCAGAACATTTCACTCTTGCAAAAGTGTTTGCAAGCCCATCAGATGCTGGAAGCAAAATCGTCCTGCTCTCAAAGAAACTGTGGCAGAGAGAAGACAGATCTTTGCAAGGTAAGTGGCCTGGCATGGCAGGATGGGTGGGGAAGCAATTGCATGAGGTATCTCAGTGGGTTGGGGAAGCCTTGGGTGGTCTTAAGCAGGTGGCCTGTTCCATCACTAGGCTCCCCCCCCCCGTGGCCTTCCCTACTCTGAGATACCTCATGTACTTAATGACCTGCGCATTCAATTAGCAAATGGGTGAGGTAAAGCAGGGCGTTTTCACGTTCATTTTATGTAATGCACTCCAATGAATCTTCGGGTTATAAATGTAATTGTCAAGCTCCATTACATTCGTAATTGGAGGACTACCTGTATATCCATGTGACATGTGTGACTCAAATCGGGCTTTAGCAAAGCTAATATCCTGTCAGTGATCCATGTGGTTGCAAATGTCGCAATAGATTGCTATTATATATTTTCTAGAGTTGTTTAAAACAGCATCCAGGAACTACAATTAGATTGGAATATAGTTACTTTATTAATGCCAAGTTTCTACTAAATTAAGTGTTATAATACTGTTACTGAAAAGAAAGGACAATTATGTCTTATTTATTTCCACATTTGATCCTGGTTATCTACTACAGGCATTTGATACTTTATTTCAGATAGCACTTCTTTAAATTAGATAAAAAACTCTAATGGAGTGCTTTTAAGTATGTATATATTAGTAGCTTATTACACAATATTTTGCTTGCTATGATTCACAGATCTTGGTACATAGATTCTAGTTTGTCTGGCTTATTTTCTAAACATTGGCAGAAGAGATATGAAAGAGAAAACAAAAGGGACTGCCACAATCAAGATATATAGTTGCTTTTGACTCTGTCCATAATTGAATAGGTTGCTTTTATCTCTGTATTTAACCTGCAGACCACATTAAGGGAAAGTGACAGATAATATTATATATTGCACACCTATTAAGAGCAAATTCCTTGCAAGAAGCACATCACTGACTCTTTCAATCATCAAATTTAAAACCCAATGCATGTGATAAAAAATCTTAAAGAGCAACTACCTTTTGTTAGATCAAAAAGGTTTATGGCCATATAGAATTAAATGGGTTTTCTCAAATATAAATCCATACATATATACATATGTACATCTCTTCCTAACATCCTTTTTGAAAAGATAAGCAAATGATTAAAAAATATCCCAACTTTCAGTTGAATGTGACAATTCCTTACTTGGTGGGGGCCATATATATAAATTCAGGTAACCATTCTCCTTTTCCTTGACAACGTCTTTGGCAATTGCCTAACTCCAATTCAGAGCCTTTGCAGAAACTCTTAATACACTGATGTTCCTTAACAAATAGACCTCAGGTTCATATTTTCCTCTTGATCCCAGATAGAATTCCTTGGTAAATGGTTAAACTACTAATGATCTTTTGAGATAACTCTATCCTGTTGCTTATACATTTTAATGCACATTGAATGGTTTCAGAATTGTTTATACATTTTGTATGCAAGTTCAAGTTGATTTTCCCTACTAACAAGTTAAAATATAAAAGCATCAGTGCATTTTTTTTCTAAGTAATTTTTCCATTCCTAGATTGTAACCTCATGGTGGTTAGAAGGCATTTGTATCCCAACAGTGTTGAGCATTCTTAGAAAGGTGACCATAATAGGCATGTCCTAAAGAAAGGCTCAAACTAAATATATATGTTGGAATGGATTATATGGCGACCTCTCAATTATTCTGCCAAGAAAACCAAATAAATAATGTCAACAGGTTAATGCAAGTTGTGCTCTCAACTCATAAGGTATTCAGCTTCCCAACACATTGGGAAGAGCTGAGGAAGAATGTGCGTAGCACTTATGCTTATGACATGGCTGCATTAAAAGTGATATGACACTCAGCTGCTGATGTGCCCAGAAGCCAAAAAAGTTTGATGCTGAAAGGTATGTCTAATATTGTTATGTAGAATGTCAGATCCAGGTGTAAGAAACAAGGCAAAATTCATGTTGTTAAATGAAGGCTGTTTTGAAGGCAAAGGGTGGTCACACCAAATATTGATTTGATTTGGATTTTTCTATATATTTTGTTAATTGATAAAAATAAACTATTAACAGTTCTATTCCTGAAAGCATTCTTAATTTACAGCACTTTTGCACAACTGTCTAGCACTTTTGCACAGTACTGTATATTAGCAAAAGATATTAATGAAATTAAATATATGCATATATTAGAAGAAATGCTTGTAAAAATCAATGCAAATGCTTTTGTTTTCATTTTAAAAAATTACCAAACTATACAAAAAAGGCAGAAGAGATTCACAATATTCATAAAATGGCTAAGTTGAAATTACTTTTGACTAAACATATTTAGGCTTACACTGCAAGTTAGAGCCACGGTTGTGCAGTGGTTAGAATACAGTATTGCAGTCTAACTCTGCCAATAGCCAGG